TTTTTATTAAAACTTCCTATGTTTTACAGACCATGTATGTACTGCTAAAGAGCAAACCAGAACAAGAGCGAAGATTGCTTTCTGCATTGGTTAACAAGGTAAGTTTTTACTCGATCATTGCATGTTAATTTCTTCTTCTTCTTCTTCTTTTATGACATGAAACAGCTGAACATGCAGCTCTTTAAGCTATTAAATTTTTGTTCTTATATTTAATACATACAGCTTGGGGATCCTCAAAATAAGGGCGCATCAAATGCTGACTTTTACATGTCAAACCTTTTATCTGAGCACCCAAACATGAAGGTACAACTAATCCTGTTCTCTATTTTCCATTTTGCTTGGGATGTTCTCTATTTATGGTTTTGTGTACCTTATAGGTTGCCTGGATGGGATATATTTCAGAACTGGCTAGCCATGTATATTTGTAGTAGATCCTTTTTCCATTTAGTAATTTAAAACCTGCAAGAAATTGTATATTTCATTCTTTAATGCAAACTTAACTGCATGTTTATATGGTTGGTTAGTTTTTTTATTTTTATTTTTTCATGATGTAAATCATTTTTGTAACCTCTGGTTTTGTTCTCATTTGTTAGCACGTTTATTGTACTAAAATCTTCCTTTTACAGGCTGTGGTAATTGATGAAGTGGATACTTTTCTGTTTCGACCTCATCTGGGACTACGAGCAAAATACCATGCTGTATGTTGGTTCAATTTTAGTTCAATCAAACTTGGAACATCCAAACTTTAATACATTTTAGGCATCTTTGTTAATTAATATCTATGATGATGAATTTTTAAAAACTTGATTTATTTGGTTCTAAAGTTATGAATGATGATTGGAATTAAGAAGGTCATCTCTGCCTTATGGAATTATTTATCCAATGTAAAATTGTAAATCTACTGATCTGACCCATATTCTTTTTACACTATAAATTTACCAGTCATTTCTATATTCTACCACAATTCATTTTGACCCATTTTAACTTGATTGGTGGCTTCTGAACCTTAACAACGTGCCCTTTTACATATACAGGTGAACTTTCTGAGCCAAATTCGACTGAGTCATAAAGGAGATGGACCAAAGGTGGCAAGACGTTTGATAGATGTTTACTTTGCACTTTTTAAGGTATCTTCAATATGTTCAGTTTTATATCTTATTAGTGACTCGCTTGTATCATTGTATTTCATTACTGAGTCCTTCAGCCATCAATTAAATGCGAAAATTTTATTTCTTCTCATAAGAGGGTTCCTTTCCAGAACTGTAGTTTTATTTTTAAAATATTAGTTACCCTGGTTATCCATGAGATTGTCAGAGAAGACCATAGTTTCACTACCTCATAATTCCAGGTACTGATTACTGAGGCAGGTGCAAGTCAACATGAAGATAAGGAGAGCAAAAAAGATGATAGGAAAAAGGGGAAGAAACCCAAAGATGCTGAGGAATCCCATGTTGAATTGGATTCAAGACTTCTATCAGCTCTGCTAACTGTAAGTATTTTCTATATAAAAAATTACAATGTTTATGACACTGAAAAATTTTGCAACTCTTCCCATGTCCATAACATTAATCCCACTTACTAAATCTGTGCTTTCTTTCCCTTCCATACGAACAGGGAGTTAATAGAGCATTTCCTTATGTTTCAAGCAATGAGGCTGATGATGTAATTGAAATGCAAACACCGATGCTCTTCAAACTGGTATGCTGAAAACACAATTTCATTCTATATTAGAATGCAATAACAGTTCACTGATGTTGGCAACACTCTTTATTGGCAGGTCCATTCTAAGAATTTTAATGTGGGAGTTCAAGCGTTAATGCTTCTTGATAAAATTTCATCCAAGAGTCAGATTGTCAGTGACAGATTTTACCGTGCCTTGTATTCAAAACTTCTACTTCCTGCCGCTATGAATTCATCCAAGGTATGTAAACCTGGTGTTTAGCTACAATTTTTGTTTAAATACAATGACTATGCATCTGTTAATAACAAAATCTTTCAAACATACATTGACCCACAGGGTCATACCAATGGCTTGTGAAGTAGTTTATCATGAAACTTCCAGTCTTTCCTTTGCTTGACATCCTATATATGTTGGTAAAGGAAGCCCTGAATTATTAAAACTGTAGCCATGTTTTTTTGCGGGAGTTGTCTTTTCTTGCCCTGGTTTTTTATGTTGCACCTTATCCAGCAATCTTTGATGGCTTTGTTCCTAATGTGTTTGTTCAATTGCCTCTCTTGCTAGCATCACATTAATCTGGAATTCTGGATTCTTGAAAATAATTTTGCAATATTTCAGTACGTTTCCCATCAATGTTTCATACTACGGTTGGTTTACCTCTCCTGATGTTCTGGATAGTGTAGGTCTCATAAGAATTAGAATCATCTGATGGTTTGAACATATATAAGAATTTGAGACAAGTTATTCCCCAAAGTTATCTTTTGGATTCAAGCTGTCATGCACTTAATTGACGTTATGGCTTTAAGCTTCATTACTTCTTTTTTTGGCATTTAAGATGATATCATGTGGTTCCTTAGATTTTTGTTTGTGTCATAGATTCTTGTCATGTCCTTTACTGTCTCTGCAAGGCTTTTCATTCCTTTTTCCTGTTTTCCAGGCTGAAATGTTCATTGGACTTCTTATGAGAGCCATGAGAAGTGATGTCAATTTGAAACGTGTGGCTGCATTTTCAAAACGTTTACTGCAGGTTAGTAATGCAGTTAATTCCCCTTCACTATCTCTCAGCTTTCTCCATTGTCTGTCTTTCAAATCAAGACTTGGATATTTTTTGATATTTTGTGAATGGATGAGTTGTAGTTTTTGTCTTATCGTAAACTGTTATGTTGTCTAAAAGACGTTGCTTTGTGATATTTCCAAGTAGTGTTTCCCCAATTCCTTATTGTTTTGGCTCCTTGGCCATGTTAAGCTAGTCTTATTAGCTTTTTTCATGTCTTCTACCGTTTCTGGTAGCAACTAATTGGAGGAGGATTCCTAGCGAGAAAAAAGGCAGCTCTGTTTCTTGGTTAGTTTTGAGGATGTACATGCTTTGATGGTTTCCTTAAATTACTTTTTATAGAATGAAGGAGATAAAATGCATGAGGGAGCCAATGAATATATTCCTTATTGCTTCCAATGTGCTATAATTCCTTGAAGTTTAACTATTTAAGAATTTGAACAGGTTGCACTTCAACAGCCACCACAATATGCCTGTGGTTGCCTTTTCCTTCTTTCTGAAGTTCTTAAAGCAAGGCCACCATTATGGTAATATTATTCAACTT